GCAGAGCAGAGTGACTGTGCTCCAAGCCCGACGCCAAAGGCAGGGGGAGGGGAAGGTGCAAGGAACAGGAAGAGGAGTACGCCAACAAACAGCGTCCTGGGAAACTGTGGGACAGCCCGTAAGCTTCAGAAATGCCCCCTGGCTTACATTGTTGCTGGTGCATTGCAGGCTACGTGGCACTTATGCAAATAAGACTTTGCCCAGAAACCTCTTCTTTCTAGCCTAGCACAAATTTAAACACGCTGGCATGTCCCTCTCAGCGGAGAGGCACTGAAGAGAGGGCATGCCAAGTGTCATTGATAAAACCCCTGAAAACACCCTCATCAGACCGGGATAGGCAGAGGCTTAAGACAGCTTCCCTTGGCAGGGGATTACGGCTGCTTGATCTAACTGCTCAATGAGATGCCACTCACAGCTCTATCTCCCACTCCACACACAGCCACCTTCCAAAAATAGACTCGCTCAGGATCCAACAGGCTAAGTGTGGAGCCCAGCGCCAGAGAGCAAAGGGATTTCTCTGCAGCTGAGCTCAGAGGGAGATAAGAGCGAGACGCATTCTTCCCAGCCCCAGAACTCAGATTAACGCCACCAGCAGAATTTGAACGGCCCAGTGGTTAGGGAGGCAGTGTGGGACTCTGAAGAGCTGGCTTTGAGCCTGTGCTCCACCACAGTCTTCCTATAGTGAGAAGCTGATTCAAGGTGGTAAGGCAGTCGGGTACTGTGTAGTGGGGACTTTGTAAGTACATGCGTATAGACAGCCCTAAGTATGCGCAACGGCCTCGGGGCTCACTTCTGGTTTATATCTTATGTACCAAAGCTCATGCTTCAGGGCTTCAGCCAGCCACTGGCAGGGGTCAGGAAGGGATTTCCCCCAGTGTAGTCTGGGAGGTTGTTTGTTTTTTTTTTTAAATCTCCTTCCTCCGAAACACCAGAGATTGTCATGGCTGGAGAGGAGACATTGGATGGGGAGGGGCAGGGCTCTGAGGTGTTACCGAGGGGGCATGGCTGGCTGGTTTTTGCTCACGTCAGGGTCTAACTGATCACCACATATGGGGTGAGGAAGGAATTTCCCCCCCAGGTTAGATTGGCAGTGACCAGAGGGGGGAAGAAGGGGAGGGTTTGCCTTGCTCTGCAGTGTGTGGGTGAGGACCACTTGTCAGGAATAATGGGTGTATCTCAAACATTTGCCTGCCACTGCAGGGGACTCACGCATTGGTGCACCTCGATCCCCCTTATTCTCTGCCTGTGGCGCATAATAGCCTCCTCTTCTGTGGGCTGTGATACTTTGTCTAATTCAGTTGGTGGGTTTAGTGTGTGTGTGGGGGGGGTGGGGGAGGCTGGTGGCCTGTGATAGACAGGAGGTCCCTTAAGGCCTTGAACTCCATGAGTCTTTCTTCTGGTCTTCCCCCACCATAGCTAGACAGGTTGTTTGCCCTGCAGTTTGCACTAGGAAACAGAACTGACTAATACCCCAGTATAAAGGAGATGGTAATGTCATCTCCATGGAGAGCTCCTTGCTGTCACCACCTCCCCATGCACGGCGCAGGGAAATCAGCTCTCTGTCATCCTGCCCCACCCCCACAAGAGGAGGGAAGCCGCCAGGAAATTGCACTGATGGTTGGAAGACGCGAGGACAGATTGTAACGTTTCGTCCGCTCGCTGCAATAGAACAAAGGGGTGTGGAAATCAACACTGTGCCGGTGCTAACCACAGGCAGAGGGAGAGAGAGGTGCAGCCACTGCATGATCTGAAACCTGGAAGCAAAGGTTTCCACAAATGGCTGCTTGGAGTTCAACTATCCAGGGCCTAATTGTTAATCTCACCCAGGGGCCCAATTGTGGTTACCTGCATGAATTTGCACTGACACTAGCTTGGGTAAGAGAGTTATCAATCCACATGCTTCAGGTCATAAAACTGACCACCAGAATGGGTCAGGAAGGACTCAACCATATAAAAACAGCATTGCTCCAAAGGTCAGATGCATTATGGACTTCATCCTGAGTCACCTTATTGATTTCAATATGGATCGCAGGGACTCAGCACCTTTCAGGATCAGGTTCTGTACTGTGGAGTGGTGGTATAGGACTTCCCGTCAAGCATCAGTTATCGGCCAAAATTTGAGCAAGGGAGGGTGGGAGCGTGAGAAGAGTTTCATCTGAAAGACAACCCACAATGAGCACAGAGTCTGGCTTTACTGCTTCAGAGCTGGTCAAATCCTTTCCAAGGGGTGAACATAATCCTCAGTTACACAGTCAGATTGCCTAATGGGCAGAATGCCCTCTGACCTGCCAGAGGTTTATTCCAGATCTCTTCATGGGCACTTTCCTAATCTCAAAGCCTGGGGCAGTCCCAGCCCATTGTATGCCCCTTCCACACCTGGCCAGTGGAATGAAGAAGCTGGAGAGTCCAGATTTTAGCCTCCTACAGCAAGTACGTTAAAACCCACCCCGAGGTACCAAGGCAGGAGCGCGGGAGAACTTTGGAGGCTCCTCTCCGCTCGAGTGCCAGATGTACCCCCAGAGGGGTCAATGCAGGGGGCTCGGAATCCAGGAACCAGCCACGCCACAAGCCAGGCACTCAGGCAGGAGACCAAGGACTTAGGATCCGCCAGAGTATCAGAGATATGCTCCTTGATCCAACAGAGGCCGCAGGAGCTGAATCAAAGACTCTAGATCAGTTGGCGGTTGGGGAGAGAACTCAAGAAAAAGGCCAATGCAGAGCAGGGAGTGCTGGTAGCGTCAACAACGAACTCAGCTGCATAAATGAAGCAGAAGAGGACGAGCGAACCCTCCTTCCCACCATTCCTGAGCCTGGCACGCCCTAAATCCAATTCCTCCTTTTGTTATGCCGAGGTAGCCCAATGAGAGGACAGGGTTTAATGAACGCATTGTGAAATATTTCACAATGCACAACCACAGGCGTGTTCCGCTCGTGCGTCACGCCGGCCGAGGAGCCTCCGCAAATGGCGTTAAGTGTAGATTAGCGGATTGTTGACAGGGCCGAGGGCAATTACTGTACAACAATTAGGGGACTTGCTAAATATAGCCGATATTTGGAGCCTGGCTTTCCTTCTGCCTTAAGCCATCCAGATTGGGCTCCATTCTCCCAGCACTGAGCTCCTGGATCATCACATCTATAGACATGGGAACCACCATGGCCAGAGAGAGCAGGAGCCCAAGCCTGGAATAGCAGGGGGGCCTGTGGGTCAGGGCACAGAGCTCTGCCAGTGCCAGCACTGGAGCCACAGAGGCGCAGAAGGGAAAGAAAAGCTTTAATGGCTACCGCTGCCTGCATCACATCTAGCCACTAGTCCTGCCGTGGAAAGTCACCCACCCGATTGACATCCCTGCCCCTCCTGAACAACGCGAGCAACGACGCACGTGGGATTTCAGGGCACTGTTGTAAGGGCAAATCCCTCGGGCTTTCAGCCGCCTGCCCCCATTCTGTCTATTCCCCAGCACAGAAGCAGCTCAGGAATTGGCTGGAGAAATTCTGCATTAGGTGGAGTTGCATTAGGAGGAGGTTTTCAAGAGCCCCAAAGCCACGAGCGATGGGCACTAACAAGGGGCACCGTCCCCCATAGGCAGTGGGCACCACAGGACACAATGATGCACAGCCTCAGTCCTGTCCTGCAGAAAGATCTTCTCCAGAGTTAGCAGTCAAATCTCACCCTCCTGCACGTCCCATCTAGAGATGAGGCTTCTCTTGCCTGGGATGGACGGTGGAGAACAGGCCTGGAAACAAACACAACCTGGGCGGAGACCATGGGACCCTCACTTCCACTGGGCTTCCAGGGAACAGCTGCTAGCAGCGGAGTTGGGAATTGGTCCTGCTTTGAGCAGGGGGTTGGACTAGATGACCTCCTGAGGTCCCTTCCAACCCTGATATTCTATGATTCATCCCTGTGAATCCTTGTTAGAGTCACTATTATTGCACGCTCCTTGGGGCAGGGACCTCCCTTCCAGGTAATACACCGAGCACAATGATGCCTCCACATTAATATCATGAGGCAAGGTCAAGAAGCTCTTCCTCCTGGAGAAGTGATGCCTGCGCCCTCAGGCGGAGGAGGATTAGAAGCCATTCGAAGCGAGACAGGCATAGCTCTTGGGATGGATCACTGGCTACAGTGCCAGTCACCTCCAAGGCACTGGACCTGGCCCGAGCAGGTGGCTCCAGAATGTCACAGCCGCCTGGTTTCACGCTGGCAGCAATGGATATGGGGGTCTCAGTGCAGGCCCTGGAAGGAGAGGGTCCACTTCACAACAATAACCCCAAGTGGTACTAATTGGCCCCTTTCCTGGCAAGAGAGCAGCTAAAATTCGAATGGGCCATGGAAACTGGCCCCTCCTCTGCCCCTGGTGGTGGTCAGTCTAGGACAAAGCTAAGGCACATTTGAGAGGCCAGGACAGGGGACTCTCGCGCCACCGTGGCTTGTCACAGATTTTTGTTTGCTTTATTTTAAGGACCGGAAGGGACCATTAGGATCATCTCATTTGACCTCCACCGTAGCAAGCGAGAGAATTTCAGCCAGCACTTCCTGCATCAAGCCCCTAGCTTCTGGTTCAGTGAGAGACTATTTAAAAAAAAAGGTCAGGTGACAGAGAATCTTCCGTGTCCCTCAGCAATGGTCAGTTACCCTCACTGCTAAAAACGGCATGACGTGTCGCTAGGCTGAATTTGTCTAACTTCGCTTCTCAGCCACTGGCTCTCATTATCTGTGGGTGTACAAAGGGATCTCCAGAGATGCTATTGTTCTGGCACTATTCGCCCAGCACTCAATTCACACTGGTTTAAAGAATAATATTAGATAGTAATCTGTGAACCCCTTAGGCAGAGAAACAAGTGAAATCCACTGAAGGCACCGGCTTCCCAGGAGAACTTGTTCTATTCAATTCAAGTTCTTTAACTGCCCATGTGATCTTCAAGCGTTTGCACTAACTAGCGTGACCACAAGGCAGCCCCCAACCCAGAGTCCAGAGAGGGGGAAGGCAGAGACTCACCTCCTCGGGTCCAAAGACTGCACCGCGATGATCTTTTCAAAGTTCATGACAAACGCCTCCAGCCACTGTTGCAGGTAGCTCAAGTCTTTCTAAAAGACAAAGCAAGGACGTGGTGAGAAGTCAGGAGTAAATATAAACCAAACGTACACCGCCACACACAGAGCTGTTAGCTGAAGAGACGGGCCCGAATTAGAACCGTCTAGTCTGAACAGCCTCAAGCTTCGGGGGAAGTTAGAAACAGAGGCAATTCCAGATTCAAGCTTCCCCCACCTTGACCGATCGATGAGAGAGTGCAGGATACATAGCGCTGCAAAACCCATGATAATTGTACGCATTCCGTATGTACATGCAAGAGGGTCACATGGTCAGGGTCAAACGGGCGGCCAGATTTGGGGGCGTGCAGGAATTGCCTCCCCAGGTAAATTGGCAGAAACTTTGGGGGGTTTCTTTGCCCTTCTCTGAGGCATGGGGTGTAGCTCATCTGCTAGGTGCGTCTGGCCAGATCTCGCCTCATCAACTCCCTGCCACTGCCCGGGCACTGGTGGTCCCACCATCTCTCCTGTTCTCTGCCTGAGAGTTTAGTCTCCCAAGGAGTGACGTGAACTGGAGCCTTCGGGCTCAATATAGGGGTAAACTGGTGAAATTGAATGGCCTGTGATGTACAGGTGGTCAGACTAGATGATTTAAATGGCTCCACCTCAGCCCAGAGCGATGGGCACCCAAGCCTGGATAGGCTGACAAGTCACATGATCAGCAGCCCATCTCAGTCCCCTCCATTATGACACACCCCCTTATATGATACATATCCTGGAGGGGAGCTCTCCTATTACACAGCAGCCAATCACCATCAGTCTTGGATCCCCACCGTCCACTCTCAGCAAGGCTGACCAGCCCTGCATGGTTCTGAGATGTGCCCTGAGCTCCAGGACCTTCACCGGGCATCTCACTGATCTGATCTCCAGGGGCCCTGTCTGCTCGACAGAGAAGTTCTGCTCCAATATCCTGGGCTAAAATTTCCCCTCTCCTCCTCAGAGAGGCGTTACACACACACACACACGGGTCGCTGTCCTTCCCCCCAGAGAGGGCTGCATCTCAGCAGCGCTGCACGCCCATAGTTTGTAGAATGTGAGGCTAGATTTCAAAACAGATGCCAGGCAAGTTGTGCAATACGTTATTACTACACATACTTTTTGGAACAGCCTTTTGCCCTCAGCAGCCCCAAAACGAGATGGTAGCACTCTGCCTTTTGTAACCCTTGCCCTTCTAGCAGCACAGACAGCATGTAGGTGAAGCGGGCCGAGTCCTATCCCCCTTCTCCCGCATGCTGGGTTTGTCTTCTCCAGATGTCAAGCTCTGAGGGGCAAGGGGCATATCTCATCTATGCGCTATAAAAGCACCATGTACGTTTACAGCCTGGTACTGTATAAAATGATTATTAAACTCACCCCAACTCAGAACACAAGCAGTAACAGAGCAGCAAACTCAGGCTCCGCCATAAGTTGATATGATCTTAAAATCCTCATAGGATGGTCCCACTCATGCCCCCTATTCGAGGGTGAGGGGAGAGATACTGCTAGACATCCATGCAAAACTCCCAAAGGCCAGCCAGTACAGATTCCACTGCAGGGTACATCACAAACCAGGCCAGAGACCAGCCAACCATCCAAAGGGGAGAGCAGAGACCACAATCCAGGGAAGTCAGAGACCTTGGTGACCGTCTCCCAGCGAATGCCAGGAAACAAGGAGAGAGAGGGAGGGGTGGTGGGCCAGGTAGTCTCTTTTATTGGACCACCTTCTGTGGGAGAGAGAAAGAAGCATTCAAGCTACACAGAGCTCTTCTTCAAGTCCAGGAAAGAGGGTGTCACAGCTAAATACAAGACTGAATAGATAGTTCAGCATAAGTAGTGGGCACATACATTGTAAGGGACCACTCAGTGTGAATAGACCTTAGAATAGGTTCGATCTTGTATTTTGCTGTGACATTGAGTAAGCTCGAAAGTGTCACCCTCTCACCAACAGAAGTTGGTCCAACAAAAGAGATTATCTCACCCACCTGGTCTCTACTGAAGTTTTTAATACCTTTCGAGTTCTTCTGCTTTGCCTGCTAGTTCCTGAGCCTTCAGGTCACACTGCAACCACGAGGGCTGGAAACTTTTCCCAGAAGCTGAGATTGCTGCATAATCACAGGACTCCAGGAGCTGGTGCTTTACAAAAAGCCACAAGCAGAGTGCAAGCTGGCAGAGTAGCCAGTTCCAGCAACCAGAAGCCCTTCCCTCCCCACTTCAGTATCAGACAAGCTGCTGTAAGGTCACACGTCACTCTTGGGGGAGGGGAGGAAAGACCCACGCTATTCTCTGCCATGCAAACAACCCAAAAGAAAGGGACTGAACAGTCAGGATAGGACGGGGGTGCAGGAGAAGGAATCGGTCCTCTCCCAGCAATCCGGGGGCCACCTGCAGGGACTGAAGCCAGAACCACTGACTGCATGAGCGGAAGGGCCAGATGTGCTGGCTCAGAGGCAGCGGCAGATTCAAATCACTTCTGCGTGGCCCATTGACTAGAGGGACAAGGACCCAGACTGGGTTAACACCGGTTACGCTGGGAGCCTGTAAAGCCAGGGTCACAGTGCAATGCCCACGGATTGGCATACAGCCCGCGAGGCTCTGCAGTGCCGCTCGAGGCTGCTCCCCCCCGCTCAGTGCAGAGAGGCGGCCCCAGCCCAGCCAGCGGGCTGCTCCAACTCATGCCAGCTGGCTGTGGGCCCGAGGGACCATGTGCCAGCTAGAGAACGCTACAGCTCAGTGTGCACCAGCCACTCCCCCTCCCCCCCCCACACTACACAAGCCCTGGGGGAATCCCCAAGCAGGGTTCTGCTCCCTTCGTGCCATCGGAGCGGCACAGGGCAGGGCAGAGAATGGGCCCTGCAGCTTGAGTTAACCAGCTGCAATGGTACATTCAGCCCCACCACGCGCTAAGCCAGGGCCTGGACCCGCCCCCATGCCAGAATCCAGAGACAGACGTGCACATTCAGGGAAGCCAATCAACCAACAGCCAGCAGCACACACACACCAGCCCCTTTGCAGTCCAGCCTTTCTCCCAAGAGCCATTCCCGTGGGACAGACGGACAGCTGAAACCAGGGGGCCAGAGAGCCCCTCCCTCCATTTCGTCTGCACTCTCTTGCTGCTGCACCCTTCTAGCGCCCATCACCCTGGTATCTAAGCGCTTCCCAGACCTTCTGCCCTTCTCCTTTCCCTGTTAGTAGAGGTTCTGCGCCCCACCACAGGTGTGTGTGTGTGCGCGCGCGTGCTCCTCCTCTGAGTAGCAGGCTGCCTTGAAAGCCATCTGACACCGGACCAGCCCGATTTCCTCTGGACGCTCCACAGTTAAGCCTCTTCCCCTGAGAGCAATTTGCCTATCGCTCCATCGCTCTTTCTGTCTCAACTCACCATAGTTCTACAGAAGAGATAGGCCGACAAGGCAGAGTCATTGCAAGCAGAGGTAGCTGCTTCTCTGCTGACAGTGGCAGCTCTGGGGCTAGGAGACCTGCGGGGGGTTTCACGGCCAGTCTGGGAGGGTGGGGTTCGCAGCAGGCAGGCCAACGGGCTGGGCCCTCGCTCCCCATCTAAATCCTGGCGCCACGGAAGCCAGTCTTTAGTCTCTGTCTCCTGCCCATCGAGCACACCGGGAGCAAGAAGCGCTTTTGTTAAGCGTCAGTAGCACCCAAGGTTCCCAGCGCCTCCCATCGCAAGTCACCTTTGCCAGGAAAGCAAGCGGAGATTCCATGCTCCAAATTCCTTCCCACCACGGATGGTCTTAAAGGAAGGGAAGAAGCAGAGGAGAAGTCGCCCCCTTATGGAAAAGCCCTCTAAGCTTTAGAGACTCATCTCCCCTCCGTAGACTTTCTGGATCAGCCACTGGAACGTGACAGACTCTTTTCCCTCCTACATCAGTCCGCAGGTTGGTGAAAGTCCCTGGAGCAAGGATTTCACTCTGTTTCAACTGACAGCTTTTCCGAGTGCTCCTTGTGAAGGTCTACAGGGCTTTCCCAGGAAGGCGAAGAGGGGATTAGATGCACCCTTTCGATATTCCTCAAATGCCTGGCCTCTCCTTGTCCCAGAACCTCTTCCCTACACCCACCTCTCGCCAAGGAAGAGATGCCAGGAGGCCAGCCTCATGGACCTCTGCCTAGCCTAGCTCGAAGTCACATGGCTCCTCTCCCTGGGGGAGCCTAGCAGGACCTGCAGGTGTAAGAGTCGCTGCCCTCAAAAGGGCCTGAGCCTGCCAGTGGCACAGCACTCTCAAAGCGAGTGCCCGGCACCTGGCTGGATCAGGCCCAAGAGTGGACCGGTAAAAGCTCTCCTACACGTGACACATGCTAGCCTCCCTCCTGCTACGAGCGATCGATGGATTTGCCCAGCACTGCAGAGAGAGCAAGTGGAAGCTCTATTTACTAGCTTGTTTTTCACACCCCAGACAGAGCTTGTTTCCTGTAACGACTCAAACATCTGCAAGCGCAAGCTCAGAGGCAGACGCCCACCTAGCCTGCACAGACAAACCCCCCCGATGCAACGCAGCGGGTTCCCACCTGCACGCCATCCAAGCTGGTGCCGCAGCTACCTGAAAGCCAGTGTGCAGGTGTTACCTGGCAGGCAACGGCCGGAGATCCCATCTGACAGCCTGGCAGCTCCATCATCGGCCAAGGGCTAAGCCAAATCCAGAGGCAGCCCCCTGAGCTGGGAGCCCATGCAGGCGATGGGCTGAGAGCGGAGCCGCTGGCAGCGCGGGCAGCCCCAGCGAAGGTCGGCGATGCTCCGGGAAGGGGCGGGGGAGGGAGAACGTGAGCGCGGAGAGCAGCAAAACAAGAAAGTGACTTGAAAAAAAAAAAGCGTTGTGTAAAGAGAGCCAGGAAATGCCAAGTCACTAGAAACATCAGCGACACTTCCTCCCGCAGTGCCACCGCGGCCAGGGGACAGGCTGGGTCTCCAAGAGGCACTTGCTTCTAACCCTCGCTCAGCAACAAAGGGGCACCCAGCACCAGCCCAAGGCCCTGGCCGCACCGAGAAGGGGACGCTGGTGGGTCTCAGAGCA